AACCACAATATATATACATATAGATATATGCATGGCAAAACCAAATAAAATTATTGATCTTCTTCTCATATCCCTTCTCATCTTTACCCTAGCTCAAGCCGAACACCACACCGTACGTCGAAGATCTCGTGCTAGGGCGTTTATCGAGATACAATGTCAGCAAACACTCTACCCCGATTTATGTATACGGAGTCTTTCGTACTATGTTAGCAATTTCACAGCAAATCTCAGCCTACGACAGTTAGCTCAAGTCGCGCTAAGAGTAACCCTAGCCAACGCGGAGTCAACAAAAACCTATGTGGCCGACGTGGCTAAAGATCTCAATCAAACAAAGTCGTATCGTTTCGCGAAAGAGTGTTTGGATCAAATAAGCGACGGCGTGGCGCAGCTGTCGAATTGTATCAAAGAGACGCAGATGATTAAGGAAGACGGGGAAACCATCGACTTTCCTTGGCATGCAAGCAATGTCAAAACGTGGATGAGCACCGCCCTAACCGATGCGAGTACGTGTGTGGACGGGTTTTCGGGCCGGGCTTTTGGGGGAAAGAAGAGGGCCATGATTAAGGCTAAGGTTCTTAATCTTCAACAAGCTACTAGTATATCATTGGCCTTGTTCAATAGGTTTGCTGCAAGATATAGGTCCTCTCATGTTGATAAACCTAAAGTGTAGGCCCTTTTGAGCAATTTAGAGGTTGACTTTTTATGGATGTGGGAATTAAATTGCATGTGCACGTGTGAGGAAGAAACAAGGAAATGTGAATATATAAAAGTTTTGGGGTTGAATTTGTGAATTCTATTTTCCAATATTTACTTCAATTGCAATATAAGCTCTTCTATTTTTTAACCTTTTTTTTAATTTCCTCTTTATTTGTGAAATCAACTGGTCAACGTTGACTTTGTGACTAGAAGGCCATGTGATTAAGTTAATTAATTACACAATTAAAGAATTGGGCCGCAATGTATGCAAGCAATTCTTGGATCCCGTGACAAAAAAATGGAGTTGCTTGTAGATTTTTCAATTTTACAAGTACAATTATGTACTATTAATTATTTACTACATATAAATAAATAAATAAATAAATAAATAATTGCATGTGTCCTTATGAAAAGTTATTTACATTCTTGTCTCCTAAGATAATATGACCGTTGGAAGACCGTTGGAAGAATTGAATTAAGAATTTTTCTTTTTCTAGTGATGTAATTTATCGGATTTCAAATTCATTTATCTATGTTGTTGTACGATTTTGTAGAACCTACATCTGGTGAAATACATCATGTACTTTTACACCATTGATCTGTACATAATAGTACACGTACGAATATGTATGTGTAGTTAGTGGACAACTATTTATGTCGATCTACAATTTAAAATAACATGGTGTATTTCATCAGATGTAGGATCTCATAAACCGTACGATTTTAACAAGGGCAACACGGAGTTCGCTTCCTCTAATGTTTGTTATAGCAAGTTTGTGTTTAATGGGGCCACACAATCACTTAGTCACATGTAATTTGTGGCCCATTAGAGCCCCAAGCCCAAGCCCAAATGATTCAAATTGCATTATTACTTTTAGACCGGTTTGTTGATTATAGGGCTAAGAAAATAAAAATGTATTAAAAAACACACACAAAAACTACACTTTTTTGCCCCTTAAGTTTACCCTAATTACATATTTGGTCCTTCTTGTAAAAAAAAAACAGGTTTAATCCCTCGTGTTTAAAAAATTCAATGCTTTTGGTAATTCTTTCGATTTTCCGTTAGTAGCTAACGGAATCAAGCATGTGACCATCATTGTTTTAAGGGCTAAATACAGTTTGCACCCTTAAACTATAGGGGTGGTAACACTTACCCCCTTAAAGTTACAAATGTAACACTTACCCCCCTCATTAATGAATTTAAAGGTATAACTTTGACTTTGAATGATGTGGCATTCTTTCTTCCCAAATTGTCCTTCTAGCTATTATATTGATGCATATATAATAAAATATTTTCAACAATATTTCAAAAACTAAATTTTATAAAATATAATAATTATTAAAAAAATATTTTGATTTATGTTTAACTCCACATTTTAGTTACTATAGACCCTAATATAAATAAAAATCTCAATATTTTAAAAATATATTAAATACGTTAAACATTTGAAAAAAAAAATATTTTCAAGGCTTAAATGGCCAATTTTTTTTATGATAATTATTGATTTGAAAATTTATTTTAGTTACTTAAATATAAATTTTAATAAAATAATATTTAAATATTTAGACGTTTAAATTATAATTTCTTATTAACTTTTGAATACATTTTGTGATTCTCAAAGTAAAAAATGGGATGATTATATTAGAGTCATATACGCATTAAAAAAAACTATATAAACTATAAAATCATAATTAAAATCCGAATAATCGTTAACTTTTTATTAGCTACAAATGAACACAAGATAAAACAAAAATACACTAACATTCAATTTTTTTCATTCATAAATTTACAATATTGAAATAATAAAATTAAGTTTTGGCAAAGTTGTCGAAATTTTTATTATTACATATTCATTATTTTTATTTATTTAATGGCTAGAAGGACAATTTGGGAAGAAAGAATGCCACATCATTCAAAGTCAAAGTTATACCTTTAAATTCATTAATGAGGGGGGTAAGTGTTACATTTGTAACTTTAAGGGGGTAAGTGTTACCACCCCTATAGTTTAAGGGTGCAAACTGTATTTAGCCCTTGTTTTAATTATATAGTAAATGGGAAAAATACAGTTTTGGTCCCTCAAATTTGCCCCAATTTTACATTTGGTCCCTAATATTCACAAAAAACATATTTGATCCCTCATATTTCACAAATTCAACTTTTTTAGTCATTTCTATCAATTTTTAATTAGTACTAACGAAATCAAGCGTGTGCCCATCACTTCCTTAACTGACTGAGTAACAGTATATTGACAAAAAGGAAAAAAAATGTTAAATTATTGAAACATGAGGGACCAAATGTGAAATAAGTGCAAACTTGAGGGACGAAGAATATAGTATTCCGGATAGTATATTGACGAAAATGATCGAAAGTGTTAAATTGTTGAAACATGAGGGATCACATATGTCTTTTGTGAACATGAATGACTAAATGTGGAATCAGTACACAATTGATGGACTAAAACTGTAATTTTTCCGATAACCAGGGAAGAAAAAAGAAAGGGAATAATTGCACTCATAATTCATAAACACATATTCATTACAACTAATAAATGAATATTCATTTATGATTTAACCCTTTGCACGCGGGAAACGTAAATCGATATTCGTCGGAGTAGTTGCAGAGAGCAGATTTAAGGGTTGGAGAAGATGGAAATGGATGAAGCTTCACTATTATCGGCATTGCGAGGTGAAGGAGAAGACGAGCACGAATCCAAAGAGAGTGTTCTGCAGCGGTACTTCCTTCTAGAATGGAATCTCGTCAAGTCCTTTCTAGACGACGTCGTTTCAGCTCGCCGCGTCTCCGACCTCTCCGCCGTCAACCGGATTCGATCCATTGTACGCCGCCCCATACTTCCCCCTTCTACTTTTTTTTTTTTGTTTTCACACACGCGCGCACTCACAATTTGCTCGATTTATAATTTTATCGTTTTGCAAGCTGATTGAGATATTGAGCTATTAAAATTTAACTGAAGTGTGGTGGTTCAGATTATCTGTTTGTTAATTTACTGTTGGAGATTGTTAAATCAGCTGAAATTGTATGGCATTTTTTTTTTTTTTTTTTTTTACTTCTGAGTGTGAATTGGTGGATAACTATATTTGTTTGTAGCAAAATGGGACCTTTCAGCATTCAATTTTAAAAAAGTATGGAACAGGTCAGTGGATAGATGATATACTTCTTCGAAACTCGAATCGACCTTTCCTTTACTAAATTATTTACTTTAGAACAGAAGTGGTAAATATCGAGAAAATAGTAATGTTTTTTCCGGTTGCTGAATATTTTTACTTAAGGGACCTCATATCCACTCCCTTTTTTTTTCAATAAATTTTTGTTTTATGAATCTTGTTAGAAA